AGGTGGGGAGGGGTTTGTGCTTCACCTGGCTGTTCTGTTGTGGGCACGTGGGGCAGCCCCTAAAGACGGGTCAAGGTTTGGCTGGGCACAGGCCCTGGGATAGTGTGAACCTAGGAGGGTCTCAAAAGTGGGGGGAAGCAGCGATTCCGCACAGGCGGCGCTCACAGGGTCCTTAGGACGCGGGAGTCCTTGCGTGGGAATCTCGCCACGGGAGCCGCACTCCAGCAAATGCCGCAGCGCTGTCTCTTCTCCACTCAGGTCATCTTCTCGCTCCTCCTCCTATTCCGGCTCCGGTTCTTCACGGTCCCGATCCAGGTCGTCGTCGTACAGCTCCTACTCCAGTCGCTCTTCCAGGCACAGCTCCTTCTCAGGCAGTCAATCCAGGTATGGTGTTTCTTGCCCTTTGGCCGGCAGGCTCTCGAAAGCACCCTGTCCGCCGAATCTCAGAGGACGCCCAAGTCAGGAGGCACGTTGGGTTGGGTCACTTGGCCCTCAGTCCTGCCAGAACGAAGCGTGGGAGCGGCAACCTGGCCATCAGCCTGGCCCGTGAGCCCACAGGGAGGGATGCAGTGGGGCCTGATCCCGGGCCAAGGCTTCGTGGCTGCTGGGCAGTATTGCTTGCTGGAGGCAGCTGCCTGGGTTCAACAGTGGGGCTCTCACACCACCAGTGTTCCCTCCAAGCTGAGTGAGTGTGAGCTAGCTCACGGTTTTTAAGCCTCCGGCTCACACATCTTTGTCTCAGCTCAGGAAGGAGGGCTCCGGAGCAAACTGATTTATGCAGGAGCCCAATCGCTCGCTCGCCACTTTAATGCCAGGAGCTCACCAAGTAGAATTCCTGCTCATAAGACTCCACAGCTTAGAGGGAACATTGCACACCATCCCAGATCTTGTCCTACAATAGCCTCGGCTTGATCTTTCTCTGAAGTTATAGTGTAGGAACTGGCAACATTTCCTGAGTTTCAAGGAAGGGGGATAAAAATGTCCAGGTCTAAGATTTCCTACTGTGTACTACTGGAGGAGCTGCGGTGGCTCAGGTGGTTAAGACGCTGAACTGCAGGCTCTGGAAGGTCGGTAGTTCAGCAGTTCGAGCCCCGAGTGTGCCGCATGACGGAGTGAGCTCCCATCTCTAGTTCCAGCTCCTGCCAACCTAGCAGTTTGAAAGCAAGAAATTGCAAGCAGATAAATAGGGACCACTTCGGTGGGAAGGTAACAGTGTTCCGTGCGCCTTGGTGTTTAGTCATGCCGGCCACATGACCACGGAAACGTCTTTGGACAGCGCTGGCTCTTCGGCTTTGAAGCGGAGATGAGCACCGCAACCCTAGAGTCGGATTCGACTGGCTTTCGAGCAAGGGAACCTTTACCTTTTACCTTTTACTACTGGATAGGCCAGGGTAGACCAATCTTGTCAGATCTTAGAAACGAAGCAGGGCTGGCCTTGGTCAGTACTAGGATGGGAGATCCCCCCCCCCCCAAGGAAGCCCAACCCTGGGGTTGCAACGCAGAGGCAGGCACTGGCCAACCACCTCTGAATGTCTCGTGCCCTGAGAACCCCCACAGGGTTGCCATAAGTCAGCTGTGACTTGAGGGCAAAACCCCCAAAAGAACGTGTGCACCAAATTTTAACTTTTGTGCGTTGGTCAAGGACTCCTAACAGCATCGATGCCCCCATCCCTGAGTGAGGTATTCCCCCCCCACACACACACACACACAAACCAGTGTGCATGTTTGCGTGCTTCATAGATGCTCATAAATGTCATCTGCTCTGTGGCTTTCACTGTGTCAAATAGCAGAGGAAGCTTTGGCATTATGCAGCTGCTCGGGTGACCTTGGGTCAATCATAAGTTCTCTTAGAGCTGTTCTCTCAAGGGCAGTTCTCAAGAGAGCTCTCCCAGCCCCACCTACTGCACAGGGTGTCTGTTCTGGGGAGGGGAAGGGAAAGGGATCGTGAGCCGCTCTAAGATTCCTTCGGGTCATGAAGGGTGGGGTATAAATCCAATCTCCTTTTTCTTCTTCTTCATTAAAGTTGTGTCCTTTTTATTCCTGCATCCTGTGGAAAGTCAGTGAAGGAGAGCCAGTTTGGTGTAGTGGTAAAGTGCGCAAACTCTAATCTGGGAGAACTGGGTTTGATTCTCCACTCCTCCACTTGCACCTGCTGGATGACCTTGGGCAAGCCGTAGTTCTGATAAGAGCTGTTCTCGAAAAAGAGCAGTTTCTGTCAGAGCTGTTCTCTCAGACCCACCTACCTCCCAGGGTGTCTGTTGTGCGGAGGTGGAGGGAAAGGCGTTTGTAAGCTGCTCTGAGACTCCTTTGGGTAGTGAAGGGCGGGGTATAAATCCAATCTGTTTGGTGCAGTGCCAGTTTGGTGTAGTGGTTAAGTGCACGGACTCTAATCTGGGAGAACCGGGTTTGATTCCCCACTCCTCCACTTGCACCTGGCTGGATGACCTTGGGCAAACCATAGTTCTGACAAGAGCTGTTCTTGAAAAAGAGCCGTTTCTGTCAAGAGCTCTCTCAGCCCCGCCTACCTCACAGGGTGTCTGTTGTGCGGAGGGGGAGGGAAAGGAGTTTGTAAGCCACTCTGAGACTCCTTTGGGTAGTGAAGGGTGGGGATATAAATCCAGTCTCTTCTCTTCTTTTTCTTCTTTTCTCATCTGGGGTTTTCTTTAGACTTGGCCAGGGCATGAAACCAGAATAGCTCCAAGGGATCCAAAGCAATAGCAGCCACCTAGGATTTTTCAGGCGGTTCTTATCCCATTTCCATCCTGGTGATGCTAGGTTGAAATAGAGATCTGAAGGCCTCGAGGGGGAATGGAAAAATTCGTGGGGGTGTGTGTGCTTCCCCCCCCCCAACAGCCTTTTTTCCAAAAAAATATTCTGATGGAAAAGTTGGGGATTTGGGGGAGCATGAAATATTTTCCCTTTTAGAATGAGTGAAATACTTTTAAAGACAACGCGGGCATGCCGCAGACATACGCAGCTCTTAAATCCCAGAAGAATTCCTGCTCCTAGAAGGATACCGAATCTTCATGAGGGGAGCGTGCAGGGCTTTCAACTGTCGCATGCCTTCTGTTGGCCTTTTGACCCAGGATGGCTGATCTTTTCGCCTCTTCCTCAAACCACAGTGACACATTCACCCACAGGTTGGGCAACCCGTAGCTTGTTGCCCTGCCTTGCAGGAGAAGAAGAAGAAGAGATTGGATTTATACCCCGCCCTAAGGTGTCTCAGGGCGGCCTACAAACTCCTTTCCCTTCCCCTCCCCACAACAGACACCCTGTGAGCAATGCTCCCTCTCAGCTGTGGAGCCTTGTGAGCAAAAATTCTACTTTGTGAGCTACTGGCTTTAAAGTTGTGAGCGAGTGATTTGGCTGCTGCATAAATTAGCTTAATCTGGAGCCATCCTTCCTGAGCTAAGACAAAAATGTGTGAGCAGGAAGGTACAAAACTGTGAGCTAGCTCACACTAACTCAGCTTAGAGGGAACACTGCCTGTGAGGTAGGTGGGGCCGAGAGAGCTTTGACAGAAACGGCTCTTTTTCAAGAACAGCTCTTGTCAGAACTACGGCTTGCCCAAGGTCATCCAGCCAGGTGCAAGTGGAGGAGTGGGGAATCAAACCTGGTTCTCCCAGATTAGAGTCTGCGCACTTAACCACTACTCCAAACTGGCTCTCTACACCAAACTGGAGGGAGAAGAATGATCAGAAACTGCACCACAACCTCAGCAGAGAATTCTGAAAGTTCCATTGAGAACTGAGCTTTCTCTGACTACGTAGTGAAAGTTAAGGGACGCGTGCTGAGATAGCGTGGCGTGCATCAGTTTGCCGTTTTCTCTCAGGTATTGGGTAAATTTGAAGGCACGTATAACTTTTTAATTCCAGAAGTATCTCAAAAATTAAAATCTTGTATGTGAAATGATAAATTATGCCCTTTATGTTGTGAAAGTAGTAATATTAGTTTAGATTTGATAGGGCAGTAATTGTAGCATTTCCCCAAAATTTCCACTTTTCCCCTGGGGAAAAAAACATGTTTTTTTCCATGGCTCTAAAAATTCTGGAAATTTTACATCTCTAGGTTGGAATCTCCAGTTAGGGTCATTCACTATTGTAATTACACTTACGTATACCTAAACTCGGCATGTGACCAGGGCCATTTCCTGCCCGGGCACGGTGCCAAACCGACAGCAGTTGGCGGTTTGTGTGTTTGAATTGGCCGCTTCTGCCAAAGACAATACAGGATGGTGAAATGTCTAGGTGCACCAATAATGATCATCCCTTATCTGAAGGGGGGGGGGGCGTTGTGTAAACACATGTATGGCAGACTTCTGACTCATGAGAGTCCGCTCTGTTAACAAGGTCAGTTGTGTAGGAAAGCCTACAAGTCTTTATGGGTGTTTATAGCACCCCATGATAGTGTCAGGGAAGTGCATTACTTCATCTGGGCCCTAAGCCAGGCAGCAGATTCTCTTCCCACATAGCTTTTTGTATCCCCAGAATGGCACACGAGAGTCTAATGCGCAGGTACGGCCAAACTTGCTTAATGTAAGAGCCACATAGAATAAACGTCAGATGTTGGAGAGCTGCAAGGCACAAACAAGTATTACACACATGCTTTTATTGAAAAATATGCACATTTGCTTTTTATTAACATTGAATAAAAACAAAAGGTAAAAACAGGTACTGATAATGATATTTATTTGTGCAGTGATATCCATTTGTTTGCTAATGATATTTCTCTGAGAAAGAGAGAGAGGTGGAAAGAAAGAATTAAAGAGGTGGAAAGAAAGAGAGAAAGAGAGAAAGAGAAAGCAAGAGAAACAAAGCAAGTAAATGAGGGAGGGAGGGGGACGGAAGGAGGGGAGGGAGGGAGAGGTGAAAAGAAAGCAAGTTTAACTTTTAAATGTGTCCTCCAAGCCCCCCCCCCACGCCCACACACCAGCTGGCTTGGCTTGGAGAAGGGATTTAAAGAGACAAATGCCTTCTCCAAGCTGGTGGGGGGGGGGCCTTTGAGAATGCATTTAAAGTTTAAGAAGATGAAGAGATTGGATTTCTACCCAATGGCGCTTCACTACCCAAAGGAGTCTCTGAGCGGCTTACAAACTCCTTTCCCTTCCCCTCCCCACAACAGACACCCTGTGAGGTAGGTGGGGCTGCGAGAGCTCTTGACACAAACTGCTCTTTTCCAAGGACAGCTCTTATCAGAGCTACAGCTTGCCCATGGTCATCCAGCCAGGTGCAAGTGGAGGAGTGGGGAATCAAACCCGGTTCTCCCAGATTAGAGTCCGCGCACTTAACCACTACACCAAACTTGGCACCAAGTTGCTCTCTTTCTCTGCTCCCCCCTCTTCAAGCCTACCTAGGGAGGGGAATACTGGCTGGGGAAGGGAAGACCAATCGGGGAGGCGTGCCTCCCCTTTGTTTCCCCAGCCGCCCTGCTGGAAGCCGCACAATATCTGTGAAAGAGCCGCATGTGGCTCCTGAGCCACAGTTTGGCCACCCCTGGCCTAATGTATCCACTCTCTGGTGCACTGCCTTTCCTTCTTCCCAGAGAACCAGCCTATAATTTAAGCTGTTGCAGCCAAGAGCTTTAACCTAGAAGTGGCGCACTTTAGCTCAAAGTGGAAGTGCAAAGCTCAGCCACCCAGGTCCTGGAAAAGGAAGACCCCTGAATGGAGGAGTGTAAAGAGTGCTGGTTCACTCTCCCCTGTTCAGGACCCAGCAATATGGGGATTGGACGAGGAATGGGAAAGGCCCACCCCTGTTGGGTAACCACCAAAATGGCCCGGCCGCCCCCCCTCCCCTTCCTTCCGCAAATTTAATACCTTTCTCTCTTTTTTTGCATCATCCTTTTTTCCAAAGTCCAGGGGTTTTCCCAAGGAATGTGCAAGGGCTTCAGGGACTGGAAAGAGGGAAGTCTGTGATGTCGGATGCAGTGCAAGGGGAAAGGGGCCAAGAGACAGTGTAGGGCACAGACGTGCCATTCCTGCGTCCTGATTCCTGGAAATATTGGCAAACACTCCTCGGCCTCAGAGTTTACGAGATGTGTCGCCTACTCATTTTGAAATTTCCCTCCTCCAGTAGAAAACTTGTTGTTTCTCCGCCTGCCAAGAGGCAATTGAGGTTCTCGGACGTTGAGTCTACCCACTCCCATCCCGATGTTTTGTTTTATTGTATTTATTTATTTATCTTTAGATTTGTATCCCGCCCTACCCCGAAGGCTCAGGGCGGCTAACAAGGGCACAAAGTGCCAAGATTAAAACAATAAAAGCACATAATATAAAACAGTAAAATACAGTAACAAAATCTGACAGTGCTCCATTTGTCACAAGATGGGGTAGATCTTAAACCCAATGGTAACTTTCCCGAAATCTATCATCCTTTTCCTGCCAGGGGCACCTCGCACCCCCAAAGGGGCCAGATAGTCGTGGTGATGGTGCGACGGTGCATAGATGGCAATGATGGAGTAATAGTGGCGGCGGCTCTTACTCGAAAGCCTGGCGGAAGAGCTCCGTCTTGCAGGCCCTGCGGAACTGAGAAAGATCCCGCAGGGCCCGGATCTCCTCCGGTAGCTCCTTCCACCAGGTAGGAGCCGCCACCGAAAATGCCCTGGCTCGATCACCGCAAATTTAATATCCTTGGGGCCTGGAATTTCCAGGAGATGATGACCCCCCCGACTGTAGTGCCCTTGGGGGAACATATGGAGAAAGGCGGTCCCTCAGGTAGGCTGGACCCTGGCCATAAAGGGCTTTAAAGGTAAGAACCAGCACTTTGAAGCGAATCCGGTACGCTATTGGTAGCCAGTGCAGCGCTTTCAGCACAGGCTGAATGTGGTCCCTCCTCGAGAGACCCATCAACAACCTGGCTGCAGCATTCTGCACTAGCTGCAGCTTCCGGATTTGTGACAAAGGCAGCCCCATGTAGAGAGCGTTACAGTAGTCTAGCCTTGAGGTAACCGTCGCATGGATCACCGTGGCCAGGTCTTCACGGCTAAGGTAGGGGACCAACTACCGAGCCAGCCAAAGAGGATAAAAGGACGCCCTGGCAGTGGCTGCCACCTGGGACTCCATCGTTTCCCACACTCTCTTTCTCTTTGCAGGTCGCGCTCCTTCTCATCTTCCCCGTCTCCTTCCCCGACGCCGTCTCCACACAAACCTCCTGCCAAAGCGAAAGGGGAGCCTGCACTGCCGGCTGGAAAGAGGTAAAGCTCTGCGCCTGCCCCGGGTGAGGTGCTCTGCAGCCTGAGCTGAGCCCGCGTTGTCGTTTTGCTTGTCCTTAGGGCCCGGACTACCTTTTATCTGCGGCTTGCCGGGCCACAAGGCGCGTGCAGCAAGTCAGGCGTGGACCAGCCGTGGAGGCTGTGCCACTAAAGCGAGGATTCGCAGCGTGGTGCCCGTGGGCAGTGTCCCCTCTGAGTGAGTGTGAGCCGGCTCACAGTTTGTTAGCCTCCAGCTCACACATTTCTGTCTGAGCTCAGGAAGGGTGGCTCCAGAGCAGTGTTCCCGCCAGTAGCTCACAAAGTAGAATTTTTGCTCACAAGACTCCACAGCTTAGAGGGAGCATTGTGAACACTGTGTCACTTGCCTCCACCTTTATTGGCACCCTCCAAGCGAGAGGAGCTGGGTGGAGCTTTTGCCCAGCAGGGCTTCTGATTGGGAGGACAGATTAAAAGGCATCCTGTTAAACAAAGACCGATTTCCCACAAGCCGCTGCACTACCCTCGCTCTTCCCTTCCCCCCTATTGTATTTGTCTAATTTCCCACTATTCGCTGTGCGGCTGCATTTTGACCTGCAGCTTCGCCCGATTTCCCCCGTGGTCAAAATGCGGCCGCACAGCGAATAGCGGGAAACTGACGAAGAAGAAGAAGAGAAGAGATTGGATTTATACCCCGCCCTTCACTACCCAAAGGTGTCTCAGAGCGGCTTACAAACGCCTTTCTCTTCCCCTCCCCACAACAGACACCCTGTGAGGTAGGTGGGGCTGAGAGAGCTCTGACAGAAACTGCTCTTTTTCAAGAACAGCTGTGCCAGAACTATAGTTTGCCCAAGGTCATCCAGCCAGGTGCAAGTGGAGGAGTGGGGAATCAAACCAGGTTCTCCCAGATTAGAGTCCGCGCACTTAACCACTACACCAAACTGGTTGAATACAACCAGGGGAAAGGGAAGAGCGAGGGCGGAGCAGCGGCTTGTGGGAAATCGGTCAAAATCTCTTCTGCCTGAAATGCTGAAGAGATGCTAGCAGAGTTCTGTGTACCTTCGCTCCCTGATGTTTTGTGATTGGCTCCGCGGCCCCCCCCCCCATGGCAGCCATTTTTTAATTGTGCCCATCGCTGTATGCCAGAATTCCAAAGGTGGTCACAGGCTCGACAAGGTTGGGGACCCCTGCTTTAGCAAATGGGGTGTCTCCATGCCGGCGCGGGAACCGTAACCCTTTGTCCATTTTGCCCTCTCTCTTGAGAGGCACCGAGGATGATCTTACCTAGAGGCAGAAAGACTGGAGGAGCCAGAGAGGCTTCCGGGGCTCCGCGTGGGGTCTGAGTGATAGTGGCCATTTTTGGAGTGGCAGACCCTGAAGGGAATGTCCCAAAGGTGTATGGTGGGGTGGGGGTGGGGGGTGAATGTTTTTTTTTTCCCCTTCACCCTTCCAACCTTCTGAATGCTCGTGGGGCCTGATTGGTGGCTGATACTAAGCATCGAATCTGTTTTTAGCACTTTCTGGGCACTTCCTTTTGTGTTGTCATTACTAGCCCCGTTCGTTGCCCTTCTACGGAGAGCCAGGAAAGAACCTAATCAGGTCCTTGAAGAGTGGTCCAGTGACCGTGATGGCTGCGTGTGATTTAAAGCAAACACTACGGCCATGGGATGCTTAAATATTGACTTTTAAGGCTGACGTCGTCTCCTCACAAACAGAAGCACACCAGCTCCTTAGTAGGTGTGACACATGTAACCAAAGTACACACAGCAGGCCCGAGGAGAATACCTTCTTACCCACGAGCGGTTGTTTTGTTTTTCCAAGTGTCTTAACAAATCTCTTCTTAAGATGTGCTGTATACTTTGGGTCCATGGTAACATCAAGCGAAAATAGCTGCAGTGATGCGGGAACCCTGTGCCCCTTGGCGATCATCAGCGGGCTGGGGAGTGATAGCGGAAGTTGGTTTTAAGAAGTGGAGGCTAGTCTGAATTTGAACTCGTGTAGAATAAGGGTTCCACAGACTCCTAGAGTTGGGAGGGAGCCTTCTAGGCCATCTAGTCAAACGTGAACCATGTGGACACGTGAAGTCAGACCATCTGTCCCGTCAGGGTCAGTATTATCTACTCAGACTGGCAGCGGTTCTCCAGGGTCCCACTAGAGAAAGGTCTTTCACATCCCCTCCTGCCTGGTCCTTTTAGCTGGAGGTGCCGGGGACTGAACCTCGGACCTTCTGCATGCCAAGCAGAGGCTCTGCCCCTGAGCCACAGCCCCTCCCAAACACCATTAGACATGAACACCTGAAGCTGCCTTCGACTGACTCAGACCCTGGACCCGTCAAGGTCAGTGCTGCCCACTCAGACCGGCAGTGGCTTTCCAGGGTCTAAGGCTGAGGACCCCCTGGGGGACCTCCTGGCGGCACCTGGGTTTTGGCCACTGTGTGACACAGAGTGGTGGACTGGATGGGCCACTGGCCTGATCCAGCATGGCTTCTCTTCTGTTCTTATGAGGTCTTTCACAAGAGCTGCTGCCTGTTCCTTTTAACTGGAGATTCTGCTGGGGATTGAACCTGGGACCTTCCGCATGCCAAGCAGAGGCTCTTCCACAGAGCTGCAGCCACCACCACCCCCAATCAACGTAAGGAATCCATAGTTAGAGCATCCCTGGCAGATGGCTGCTGAGCCTCTGTTTGGAAGACCTCCAGTGAGAGTGTCCACCCTCTCCCCCCCAGGGGTCATTTCGTAGAAAAAGAGGTGCAGGAGCTCATTAGCATAACTCATTTGCATATGCCACACCCCCTGACATCACCGGAAGTGTGTCAGAAGGCAACACCCACCGCTCAGGCTCCACTGGACTGTTTTGGATTGCTAGCTATTGGGGGCGGGGGGGGGAACATGCAGATCTGTCCTCACAGAGGAGGGAGAGCTTGTACCTGAATAAAACATAGTCTTAAAGGTGCCACTGGACTGTTTTGGATTGCTAGCTATTGGGGGTGGGGGGGAACGTGCAGATCTGTCCTCACAGAGGAGGGAGAGCTTGTACCTGAATAAAACATAGTCTTAAAGGTGCCACTGGACTGTTTTGGATTGCTAG